CACACACACACACACACACACACACACACACTAATTGATAGGTAGAGATGTTGGTCAGTTGTGAAGCTCTAACAGAGAGCTCAGTTGTAAGCTAAAAGCTCCCACTGTGTCTGTCAGTAAACTCACTGATCACCTCAGGCACTAGAACACCATCACTCATTATATTGAACTTAATGTGTGTGTGTGTGTGTGTGTGTTTGGGCTTGAACTGATGCTGTTTTTATGTCCTTGGTTTCCCCCTGCAGATGAAAATAAACCCATCTGGATGCATGCAGAGGAGAGAGAAGAACAGAGCAAGGTGAGGACAGGTCAAGGGTCACATGAGAAGAGTAATGAAGTAATTTGCTGGTAATCTGTTAATGTCAGATTAGTGTGTCAGATAAATGTCAGGTAATTGTGGTGAACACAGTAGAAATGATAACTTTTTAACATTGAATATCAGCCTTGCCCAGATGGTGCTTTCAGTGTTTCTGAGATTTTGAGAGTTAAGTGCTTTCTTTGTTTCAGGGCAAGCAGAAGGATGGTTCTCTGTTTGGAGAGTATGGTGGCTGGTACAAGGCCTGTAAAGTAGACAGGTCAGATATTTCCTCATCTGCTGCATACATTGATACAAACATACACATTTGTTTGTGCAGTGTTACCGCTGCAGCATCACAATGAAGTGTTTTTCTGTCTGACTTTTACCGCCTGCAGCCCCACTGTCACAACCACGCTGAAGAATCTCGGAGCTCTCTACAAGAGACAGGGCAAGTTTGAGGCTGCAGAGACTCTGGAGGAGGCGGCTCTGCGCTCTAGAAAGCAGGTCTGTGTGTGTGTGTACGTGTGTGCTCTGTTAGTCAGATGTAAATGGGTCAACTATGAATTGAAATCTGTCACTCAGGATTCAATAGGTTTTTATTAAGGCCTCATAAAGGTTTAGCTAGGCATGTAGCCAGGTGTTTAAAGATTTCTGTAATGCTATTACAGTTAAAGCTCTTCTGGCTGCAATTATGTTTATCAGTCTTTCCCTAATGATAGTCTTCTGGGGGTTCATGATAGAAATGGGTTTTGTCAATGCCAAAACTAATTGTAATTATAATTAATGTATTATTTAATTATTATCATTATTTAATTGTATATATATTTTTATAAAATAAAAGCCTTGATGAGCATAAGAGACTTTTGTGGTCGAAAGTGTGTGTGTGTGTGTGTGTATATATATATATATATATATATATATATATACTTATGCTCATCAAGGCTTTTATTTGATCAAAAATAAAGTAAAAACTGTAATATTGTGAAATCACATTTTTAAAAAACTTTTTTTAATTTTAATATCTTTAAAAATATTGGTGCTCAATTATTAGTAATGGTTCCTATTACTGTGTCAAGATTATTTGATGAATAAAAAGTTTAATGAACAGCATTTTTTTTAATATAATTTTTTGTAACATTATAAAGCTCTTTACTGCCACTTTTTATCAATTAAACCCATCCTTGCTATATAAAAGTTTTTTTTTTAAATTGTACTTACCCCAGAATTTTGAATGGTGGTGCATCATGGTTTCCACAAAAATATGAAGCAGCACAACTATTTTCAACATATTAATAATAATAATAAACATATTATTATATCTTAATTATTCCAAACTTTTGTCCAGCAATATAGTATTTTATTATTATTATTTGTTTGTTTATTATTAAATAAAATGTGTAAAATATGTTACTTTATTTTAAATGTTCAAAATGCCTTTTCTATACAACAAACGTGTGGTGAATATATAGCTTAAAAATGGGACAAAAAGTGCCATATTAATGTCAGAAAAATACTCTGACTCCATATTCTAGAAAATCTTAAAAGTTGCACAGTGTCATTTTCTATAAATAGGTAATTAGATATATAGGTTGTTGAAAAAAGATTGAGTTCAGATCATATTGGTTAATTTTCATTGTGTTGTCTTGTCTCTCTTCCTGCAGGGTCTGGACACGGCACATAAGCAGCGTGTGGCAGAGGTGCTGGGAGACCCTGAAGTACGAGAGAAGCAGCGGAGCCGTGAGAGCCTGACCTCAGACACGGTGAAGTACGAAAGCGGCCCTGACGGAGGAGAGGAAGTGAGTATGAGCGTGGAGTGGAACGGGGTAAGTACAGTACACACCGCCCAGCCCCACACACACTATAATGCCCCATAAGTCTCAGAGTCCTGGCAGGCAGAAATATACAGTGAAAGGATAGTGACATAGGGCAGCTTGTAATTCTGACCAGACAAGACACAATGAAGCCCCTCATGGGCCTCTGAATATATCCACCCCACCTCACATCCATAATTAGATTACATGAAGAATAGTGCATTCGTGTCTGTGCCAGTTACTTAAAACAGGAACATGAATCACTGGAAGCAGATCAAACCTGAAATTAGATGCAGCTAATTATATTGTCTCATTTGATTAGAGGAATATTGATTGGCAACAGTGGCTTGTATGGGGTTTAGTATCAAAAGTATAAAAGTAACCAAAGTCAGTTTAGTACTGTTGTTCTCAGAGACCAACAGTAAGAATGGCATGTGGAAAGACCCTCAAGAAGGCATCTCCAGGCCTGTTTCTGGGGGTCAAATAGTGCTGGATTAGAGTTACTCTTTATACTTTGTGACTCCATACATTGTTGCAGTCATAGTCCTCATGCTGATTGAGTGTCTGATCTGTTTGCCTGTAGAGCTTAATAGTGGCCTGACTTGAAACCCTATTAACCCTTTCAACCCTGAATTAACTACATCCATTCACTGTTGAGATTGTATTGTACATACTGTTATATTGAGTACATACAGTATATTTTATACATACTCATTTATATGTAATATGCTACCAGTTAAACATTTAGAGACACTTGACTGAATTTGTTTGATTTTAAAACCTTTTGATTTAAAGTCGTATGCAGAAATGCTTGAAGTGAATTTTGTAAACACTTTCTTCAGATGTACTTTGATGTTTATTATAATAATGTTATTATATATAATAGTAGCAATAATAATAAGAATTAAATTATTATATTTTTAATATTGTTACATTTAATACATTCTGTTATTAATTAATTATCATTTTGTATTATTATTATTATTATTATAAGAGGTGTATCGAAGCTTTTAAGTGGTAGTGTATTCATAAACACTTTCTATATCCAAAAGTATCAATGTTTGATCATTTTTCAGTTACACAAGTTAATTAATTGTATTTATATGAAATGTGTGTATATGAAAAATCTCTTTAGAGAGTAAAAAATTTAATTACCTGCAGTTTATTCAAAAAAATTGCTAAGCATTATTGAAATACATGCAGTTGCTGTTTTTTGGTAAACATCCTAATATTAACAATTAATTTTGTGCCAAAAACAATCAATTGTTTAAAAATATTCCACAAGTTTAATGAACACTGAATGATCTAAACAGAATTCATTCATTCACTTTTTCTTTGTAGCTGTTCATTAGATGAATATGAACTCATTCTCCACTGTAAGGCAAGTGTTTTGTAGTTGCTGTTTTGACCATCACACCTCTACTGTAGTCTCTCTGCAATTCTGTGTCACAACTTTTATGCTGCCATAGCAACAGTAGCCATAGTGCCAAGACAACCAATCAGCATCCCCCCTGGCGAGATCCCACCCCAACTCAGATTGTGGGAGGCTCCCATCAAGCTGGTTTGGCTGTGACCTCAGTAACCTGAATTTCCCTTTTCTGTCTTTCTTGCTTATACAGTGCCTTGCGAAAGTATTCATACCCCTTCATTTTTTTTCATGTTTTGTTATGTTGCTGCCTTATGTTAAACTGCTTAAATGTACTTTTTTTCCCACATCAATCTACACTTCATACACCATACTGACGAAGCAAAAACAGAATTGTCACAACTTCGTAAATTAATAAAAAATTAAAAAACTGAAATAAGTACATTGCATAACTAAATATTTAGCTGAAGCACCTTTACAGCCTCAAGTCTTTTTTGTTTCATGCGACATTTGCTCATTAGCATTTGGCAATTATCTGCCATTCTTCACCTTTCAAGCTCTGTCAGGTTGGATGGGGGCAGACGCACATTTTCAGGTTTCTCCAGAAATATTTGATTGGGTTTAAGCTCATGCTCTGGCTGGGCCACTCAAGGACATTCACAGAGTTGTCTATAAGCCACTCTTGCTGTGTGTTTAGGTTCATTGTCCTGTTGGAAGGTGAACCTTCTGCCCAGTCTGAGGTTCTGAATGCTCTGGACTGGGTTTTCATTAAGGCTATCTCAATATTTTGGTGCATTGAGCTTTTCTTCTACTCTGATGAGTCCCTCAGTCCCTGTCGCTGAAAAACAGCCCCACAGCATGAGGCTGCTACCAGCACACTTTACTTTTGGGATGGTACTCTGCAGGTGATGAGCCGAGTTGGTTTCCTTCAAACATGATGCTTAGATTTGAGGTTCATCAGACCAGAAAATATTATTTCTCACAGTCTGAGGGTCCTTTAGTTGCTTTTTTGCAAATTCTAAGTGTGTTTTCATGTGTCTTCACTGAGGAGAGGATTGAGTCTTGCCACACCGCCATAAAGCCCAAATCGATGGAGTGTTGCAGTGGTGTTTGTCCTTCTGTAGGTTTTTCCCATCTCCACATATGATCATGGAGCTCAACTAGAGTGACCATCAGGTTCTTGGTCACCACACCAACCAAAGCCCTTCTCCATCAGTTGCTCAATTTGGCCAGGAGGCCAGCTCGAGGAAGAGTCCTGGTTGTTTCAAACTTCTTCCATTAAGGGTAACAGAGACTACATGCTTCTGTGAACCTTCAAAATGAAACATAATCTTTTTCTGAACTCCTCCCCAGATGTGTGGCTTGACGCAAACCTGTTTCTGAGCTCTACAGGCAGTTATTTTAACCTCAGGGCTTGGTTTTTGCTCTGATATGCATTATCAGCTGTTATAGACCTTCTATTAAGATGTGTGTGCCTTTCCAGATCATATCCATTCAATTGAATTTGCCACAGGTTAACTTCACTCCAAGTGTAGTGACATCTACTAGCAATATGAATGCTCCTGAGCTAAATTTCAACTGTCCCAGATAAGGGTATGAATACTTACGCAATGGAATCATTTAAGTTTTTTTTTTTATATAAATTCGCAAAGATGTTAAAAACCTGTTTTTTGCTCTACCATTATGGTGTATGGAGTATAGATTGATGTGGAAAAAAAGTCATTTAAAGCAGTTTAGCATAAGGCAGCAATATAACAAAACGTGAAAAAACTGAAGGGGTATGAATACTTTCGCAAGGCACTGTATGTCCTTGTTTCTTTCTCTCACACACATATGGCTCAGGACTTCACTATATACTCTATTGTTAAGACTGTCTAAATCTTTTGCAAACATGCATTTGTTTATATTACATATACAGGCACTCACATACACACACAGCATATAATATAGCAAATCTCACATTGACGTACATGTTGGGGTCACTCACATGTTGGCGTGGGCTGTGTGTTCTGTACTCCTGGTGTGTGTTTTTTTTTCCCCCTGATTTGTCTTATTGAATGCCTGCTCTAATCCTATTTGTGAATGTGTGTTTGTTTGCACACTTAAAATCTCCTCTTGCTTTCTACCTCTTGCCTGCCCGTTTTCATGCTATTGTCCTCATCTATTCAATCCCTCTCCCAATCAAATCTGAGGTCCATAATGTATCAGCTTTATGATACAACATATGATTAACAAATCAATGGGTCTTCAGGGTTGATAATGTGCCATTTTTAAACCGTGCCCAAGGTTGATGGAATGGGCTCATGGAAAACAGTCTGTGGCTTTGGCCTCTAAATAAAACTACTATGCTCAATTTATTTCGGCTGGCCATTTTCCTCAAAGCAAGCACATGATCCCATGTGTGATCATGGCAGCACAAGATTAGTTTTCTCTTTTGGATCTTTGTTTTTTCCAGCTTTCATTTGCTTTGTTTGTGCCTTTGATAATCGTTTAAGTCTAGCATTGGTTCTTCTGAGGAGTATATTCAGGATGAGCTCATTTTAATACCCATTTACATGTTCCTTCCTGACTTAATAACGTACTATATGCAAATGCAAACACAAATGCAGCAAATTGCTGATGCCTTGAATAAAGGCCGATGCCAAAAACGTTAGCATCTCTCTGGTTCCTTTCGACAAAAAGCGGATCATTTTTTTCGTTCACTTTTGATTGTGGCAGAAAATAAGATCTGTGACCAACAAAAGTTTACAATTCTTTCACGTTTTGTTTAAGGTAATCTTGACAAATAAACACAACTTTTATGAATTTTTAAGCTTAAAATGATATTGCCAGAAGTAAAAAAATAAATGGACTAGACCATGGTCATACAGCTTTAACATCATCATCACTAAGCTTCTGACTACTCTTTATATCTTTATTTAAAATCTTTTATTTAAAAGTTGTAAAGTTGTGCTAGAATTGCTTGCAAGGGTGCAACTATAAACACGAAGATGAGTTTACCTGTTCAGCGTCATGACGTTTAATTTCCCAGACAATCTCTGGAGTCTTATTTCACCACTTGTTAGCAACCATCTTTTTCAAGACACCTAAAAAGATCACAAATGGAATATTATTGATGTGTTTTATGTCATACAGTAAAATGTGAAAATATATTGAGCTCGTGTTGACCACAGACCTCATTTCAGGCATTTAACCAAAAACCCATTTAAAATACCCATTGACTTCAAGGGTTAGTTCACCCCAAAATTAAAATCATTAATTACTCACCCTCATGTCATTGCAAACCTGTAAGACCTTCTTTCATCTTCGGAACACAAATTAAGATATTTTTGATGAAGTTCGAGAGCTTTCTGACCCTCCATAGAGAGCAACGCAACTGAAATATTCAAGGCCCAGAAAGGTAGTAAGGACATCATTAAAATAGTCCATGTGACATCAGTGATTCAACCTTAAATTTATGAAGCTACGAGAATACCTTTTGTGCGCAAATAAAACAAAAATAACGATTTATTCAACGATTTCTTCTCTTCCGGGTCAGTCTCCGCCGCACGTTCACGAGAGTACGACGACGCATGCGTGGGATGCTGCTGAAGCAGGAGCCGGCGTTCTGACGTAGAAC